ATATATATATATATATATATATATATATATATATATATATATATATATATATATATATATATATATATATATATATATATATATATATATATATATATATATATATATATATATATATATATATATATATATGATATAATGGCGTTCTTTTCTCTCTCTATAGCTCCTTTCCACCGGCGATGGCGTCTCTGACTCTTCAGCGATGTCGGATAACTTTCGTTCCTTCGTTGATGTTGGTTCCCCCCAACACCCGGCGGCGAAATTCAAGGGTTTGCCCTCGATTTCATTCTCTGATGAGGAGATTCATAGATTATCAGGTAAGTGATGCAGACTTCCCTAATTATTAGCTACTTATTACTGTTTTGTCCTTTCATAATTTCCCTTTTATATCCCTTCCTTACGTGTAAGCACTGATGTGGGCTCCTATATATATTTGGTATTTGGATTGTAATGAACTAAGAATATTTTCCCAAAATATTTCTCTTCCTCTCTATTTCTTTTCTCTCTCTTTACGGTTACAAGCCTCGAGACTCTCCTTCTCATTCCGAGTAGTCTCCACGCTCCGTAACACTGGTATCAGAGCCACGAGACCAGGCCAGATCTGGCGCTGACAAGAAGAAAAGCAGTGCAAATGGCATCTTTGGAAGAAGCCCTCAAAGCCCTAATCGATCAACAAAAAACCTTCACCATACAGATGACAGAGCAAAACAGAAGGATCGATGAACAACAACAACTGTTCGGACAGATGATGGAGCAGATGAAGACATTAGCTAATGGGGGATCGCCCACCTCCATGGGGAACGATAACGAGTACCATAGACGATCAGAGGGAGGTAATCACACACCGCTCTATTTTAATCCCAATGTTGAGTTTCCGCAGTTTGATGGGTCCAATGTACGAATCTGGATAAAAAAATGTGTTCAGTATTTCTCGTTATTTCAAATTCCTGATACGAGAAGAGTAGATTTAGCTTCCATGTATCTGATAGGCAAAGCTGCTGTATGGTATAATAGCTATACGATGGGTAGAGTTAATATTACTTGGAAAGATTTTGTGGTGGATTTAAGTGCCAGATTCTAGGACGAGCTAGGCTCGAAGGTAGTTGAAGAATTTAATAAACTGCAGCAAACTGGGAGTATAGATGATTATGTAGACAGGTTTGAGGAGCTGAGATCTTGTTTGTTGATGAAGAATACAGCACTTCCTGTGAGCTACTTTCTGGACAGTTTTATAGGAGAGCTCAAACCTCACATCAAGTCATTTGTGAGGGCTATGAAGCCAGAAAATCTGTCAGGAGCAATTGAGTATGCTAGGTGCCAAGAAGAAACTGTACAAGCCATTAAGGGGCCAGAGAGGAGTACTAAACCAATGTTCAATGTCAACAAGGGACTTTTAGCTACTCCTAGTATTAAACCAGCAAGTGCAATTCCTGTGGTGAACCAAGGTTCATACCAGCTGCAGTGAGGGCAGAAAAGATGGAAAAGGGGCTTTGTTACTATTGTGATAAGCCCTTTGAGAAAGGGCATAGGTGTGTTAGGAAGGGAACCCAGCTATTTTTGGTAGAAGTGGATGGTGAGGCTAATACGGATGATGAATTGATACAATCAGATGCTGACTATTTAGTGGAAGAAGAAAACCCTCTCATTTCAGCTAATGCTATTAATGGTAGTCAAGGATTCCAGACAATGAGGGTGACAGGACACTATGGCCAGAAACCACTTCATATTCTCATAGATTCGGGCAGTACACATAACTTTTTGGACCTTGCCTTGGCTAAGAAATTGGGATGCAGGTTAGACCCTATTGCAGCCACATCGATTATAGTGGCTGATGGGAACCAATTGCAATGTAAATTCAAATGCAGGGAATTTGAGTGGAAACTTCACAAGACAACATTTAAATATGATATGCTTCTCATTCCTCTAGGAGGGTGTGATGTGGTGCTTGGTGTACAATGGCTAAGTACTTTGGGACCAGTTAAGTGGGACTTTAGCAAGCTCGAAATGGAGTTCACATACAAAGGCAGTAGACAGATTTTGAGAGGGCTTAAACACCAAGTGATTGAAGTGAAGCCCAATAATTTGGTCAAAGCCTTTAATACTTCCAGCCAATTGTGTCTGCTTCAGATTATCCCTGCCGATGATGATAGAGTTACTGATGAGGCTATTACAGACACAAGGAATAAAACTTGCCCTATACCTCTTCAAAAACTACTAGAAGAGTATGAGGATTTGTTTCAAGATTTTCAAGGACTCCCACCGTTCAGGGGAGTCTTTGACCATGCGATACCACTTCAGCCAAATGCCACCCCTGTGAACATCATGCCTTATAGGTATCCTCTACGGCAGAAAGATGTGATTGAACAACTAGTAAAGGAAATGAAACAGACAGGCATTATACAGGATAGTGGAAGTCCTTATGCTTCTCCAAGTGTCTTAGTAGGAAAAAAAGATGGGAGTTGGAGACTTTGTGTGGACTATAGAGAGGTTAACAAGCAGACTGTGAAACACAAATTTCATATACCAGTTGTGGATGAGTTAATTGATGAGCTGGCCGGGGCCACTGTGTTCAGCAAGATAGATTTAAGATCTGGATATCATCAAATAAGGGTGGCACCCAAGGACATTTACAAAACAACTTTCAGAACACACCATGGACACTATGAATTTCTAGTGATGCCCTTTGGACTCACAAATGCACCTGCTACATTCCAAAGTTTGATGAATCTCATTTTCAAAGACCAACTCCGGAAATCAGTGTTAGTTTTCTTTGATGACATTCTCATCTACAGCGCTACGTGGGAGCTTCACTATAAACATTTAAGGGAGGTATTTCATACTATGCGACAAAACCAATTGTTGGCAAAAAGGAGTAAGTGTTCTTTTGGGGAGCTTAAAGTGGAGTACCTAGGTCATTTCATCTCCGGACAAGGGGTGTCCACTGACCCCAGGAAAATAGGGGCTATCCTAAATTGGCCTACGCCCACTAATCTCAAGGAATTGAGGAGTTTCTCGGGACTTGCGGGATACTACCGCAAATTTGTCCAGAATTACGCATCTATCAGTCGAGCCCTCACTGACCTATTAAAAAAGGGCTCTTATCAATGGACGGAAGAAGCTGCATCATCCTTTCACTCTTTAAAAGAAGCTCTCTGTACGGCCCCAGTTTTAGCTCTGCCCAACTTTACAAAAACCTTTCTAGTCGAACCTGATGCTTCCCAAGGAGGAATTGGAGCGGTGTTGATGCAAGAACAACACCCCCTAGCCTTTATTAGTAGGTCCCTGGGAACAAGATGGCAGGCCTTTGTTGGAACACGGGTTTACGCCTACGTCGTACTAAACCGTGTTCGTTTTATGACAGGTTTTGATAATGCCAAACCGCCGTGACAATAACAAGGTCAAACTGAGCAAAACCAAGGCGAAAGAACATGGCATGATGAACTGAGAACCAAGAACCAAGAATCAAGAACGAAGACTTAGAATTGTATTGAGTCGGTTTTAATGTGATCAAGACCGGCACAAAATTTCAAAACATGGCTCTCTAGGCTCATTGCATCAAAATACTTTTTGTATATTCAAAATGGTTTTCTTAAGTCTTAAACCTGCCTAAAAACACTTGGAGTTTGCCCAAACCAAAAACCAAGCCATCCGGCATTCGGTCTTCAGAAACCGGCGTTCGGCTTTCGATTATCGGCATTGGTTTTTGGCGTCCGAACCAACCAAGTGGTTTTCAACTTTTAATGATTGGTTTTATCTTCTGGGCATGTTTAAATAGTTCTCCAACAAAAACGCTTCAAAAACCACCTTTCGTTTTTGGTCGTTTAGTGAAAACCATGCGAAACAGCGTAAACTTGGCTAGCCGTGGTTTTAAACTAAATGACGTGGTTTTCAAAATGTTTTACTTGATTTCTTAGCAAAATGCATTAAACAAACATTTTCAATATTTGGTCTTTATTTTGGAGAACTTACATTTTTGACATCGGCTAACGGCTGACTAAACCAACCATGGGTCTGGCTAAACCAGCCCAACAGCGATGTTGGTGCAACCAACAGCGCTGTCTAGCTTGTGTAGCTGAAAACCATGGTTTGGCGTTAAGTCTTCCAACAGCGATGTTGGATGTTAGACATCGCTGTTGAGCCAATGTTGGGTTTCCAGCAACATCTGGAACAGCGATGTAGACTACTCTACATCGCTGTCCAACCTAAGCCAAAAAGAAATGCTTCTGGCAGAAAGTTTTTGAACAGCGATGTTGACCCAGCAACAGCGCTGTCAGGCCAAACTTTCCACCTTCAAAGTCAGACCTAAACAGCGATGTTCAAGTAATGAACATCGATGTAGGGACCTGACTGTTGGAAGGAATTTAAGGCTAAAACTTTCCTAGTTTGGAAGTCAACAGCCAAAACAGCGATGTAGAGGTTTTGGACATCGCTGTTGGCATGACCGTCGCTTCCCAATTTTTAAAAACCAAGCCTAGAAAAGCGATGTCCAAGCCTAAAATAGCGTTGTCTGGGTGAATTTCAGCAGATCCAAATTTAATCAAATCCCACAAATTGTGCCAATCACCCCTTAAATGTTTTGGTCCGTTGGAGCCTATTTTTCCACTATAAAATGGGGTGTTTGGGTCTGTTTTACATATCACATTACTTCACAACTCCCACTCTTACATTGCAAATCATTCATCCTTTATTCATAGCTTTTTGAGAGCCATTTTTGTTAAGCTTGTGTTGTGTTCTTGAGCGTTCTTAGTCACTCATTATCCACTCTAAAAGAGAGTATTGTTCTTGAGTTTAGTGTTCTTAGACACTTGACAAGAGAAAATATTTCTCTTGTTGTTCGAAGGAAGGGTTGTTTCCTTAGAAGGTTCGTTGAGGTTCGTGTGACTTGAACTCTCAAGTTGTACGGGTTTGTTAAGCACCGTTAAGCTTAACGAGATAGTAGTGTAGCTCGAGAGAGTCTCTCAGGAGGCTGGACTAGCCACAAGTTGTGGTGAACCAGGGTAAAAATGGTGTGCCTCTTCCTTGCTCTTTACTTTACGCTTTTAATTTTTACTCCTGCATCGTTTTTTGTTTCAAACGCTATTCACTCCCCCTCTAGCGTTGGGACGTTTTTCTAACAATTGGTATCAGAGCCTAACTCTCTTCCAGACTTAACCGTTTGAGAGGAATAAGATCATGGGCTCTTCTTCTAGAAATTTGTACGCAGGTATTGGCGAAGGGCAATCCACCTCTAGGCCACCGCTTTTTAATGGCACAAACTACTCCTATTGGAAGGAACGGATGAGAATCTATATCCATTCCACCAACTTCCAATTGTGGTTGGTCATCAAAAATGGCGAGCAAATCCCAATGAAGAAAGTGGGAGAAACCACCGTCCCAAAAACTGAGGACGAGTTTGATGTCGAAGACATCAAGAAGGTTGAAAACTATGCAAAGGCCATCAACATACTATATTGTGCGGTCAACCCCGATGACTACCGAAAGATCTCCTGTTGCACAACCGCCAAGGAGATGTGGGACAAGCTTGAAGTGACGTACGAAGGTACCGATCAAGTGCGTGAAGCCAAGATCAATTTTCTCACCCAAGAATATGAAATGTTCCGAATGAAGGAAGGTGAGAAAATCGACGACATGTTTGATCGGTTCTCAAAGATTATAAACGATCTTCATGCTCTTAAGAAGACATATACCAACAAGGATCTCGTAAGGAAAATCCTGCGAAGTCTCACCCCCAAATGGAGATCAAAAGCCGATGCAATCTATGAATCCATTGGAGTCTCCAACGTCACCATCGACGGGCTAAGAGGTAATCTTAAAACCTATGAATCTACTATTCTAACCCCGTCTTTGGATGAACAAAAGAAAAAGGGGATAGCTCTCAAAGCCACCAAGAAACCGGTGGAAGAGGTTTCTAGCGATGACGACAACGAGTTCGGACTCGTCATCAAGAAGTTTCACAATTTCATGAAGAAGGAATTTGAGCAGAAGGGAAGAAAGCACGACGGTCCTCCCAAGTGCTACGGCTGTGGCGAGGTTGGCCACATCAAGCCAAGGTGTCCAAAAGCCAAGCACGGCAAGGACAAGCCCGGCTTCAAGAAGCAAAGGGCTTACATCTCTTGGGGTGGCGATTCCGGTGACGAATCAACCGACCAAGAGGAGGACGAAGCTGCAAATATTTGCCTCATGGCGCACGAAGATCAAAACGACGACGTCCAAGAGGTATGTACCATTTCTTCCGACTCTTATACTTTTGAAGAAATGCAAGAAGCACTTCATGAACTTTATGAAGAATTTGTTAGTGCTTCCAAAATGAATAAATCTTTAAAGAAACGTCTTTCTACACTTGAAAACGATTTTGAAAAATTGGAAAAAGGCAATGAAAAATTAAGACAAGAAAACAAATTTTTTGGAAAAAGAAGCGCTGACAAACCGGAAAGTTCCTCAGTGAATGTGAATCTTGTAAGGCTTTAAAAGAACAAGTCACTAAACTTGAGAGCACAGTCAAGAAATTTAATAGCCCACACAAAGATTTAAATTTGCTCCTTGACACTATGCATTTTTCTAAGGAAGGAATAGATTTCAATAAAAATGACGCTAAGGTTAAAGAAAACGTTGAGCCACCACCTAGACAACCATCTAAGGTTCAACGTAAGAAACCTAAAAATCAGAATAATAGAAAACCTAGTCAACGTAAGGACACTAGACAACCTAGACTAAAACCTAGGAATGAAAATGATCATGGTAGACAACCTAAGAAAAATGATTTTGTGCATAAAACCAACTTTTCTCAAGATAGAAGAAATAATGCTAGAGCACCTAGAAGAGATCAATTTCAAAACTTTCAAAGACCATCTTTTCCTCAAAATAGAAACAAAATGGTTAAACCCTCTAACTATTATGAACCTAGGCACATGTACAACCCCAACGTAGTTTGCCATTATTGCAATAGGATAGGCCATATTGCTCCCGTTTGTTACACTAGGCATAGGCATCTATCACAAAATCAAGCACACTACCATCACACACCTAACACACGAGGACCCAACGTAAATTGGGTACCTAAAACTCATAGATGTGTTTCATAGGTGTGCTTGAAAGCATCAAGTGTACTTTCGTACCTTGATAGTGGATGCTCCAAGAACATGACCGGGGATGCATCCAAGTTTCTCCAAATCAAACCCGCTAAAGGAGGAAACATAATTTTTGGAGATTATAGCAAGGGAAAGATTATCAGTATTGGTTCGGTAGGTAAATCTGAAAACTCCTCTATAGATAATGTCTTGCTTGTTAAAGGTCTTAAACACAATCTCTTGAGCATAAGTCAATTATGTGACAAGGGAAATCGTGTGACCTTTGACTCACAATCATGCACGGTAGAACGCCTTAGTGACAATAAGGTTATTCTAAGTGGTGATAGAATCGATAATATTTATATGGTTAACTTAGACAAATCTCCTTCCGGCTTTGCTAAGTGCCTCATGAGTAAGGAGGAAGACACTTGGTTATGGCACCGAAGGGTAGCTCATATGAACATGAACCTTTTGAACAAATTGGTTTCACAAAACTTAGTAATTGCCATTCCAAAACTTAAGTTTGAAAAAGACACCATTTGTGATGCGTGTCAAAAGGGGAAGCAAGTTCGGGCTTTGTTTAAGTCTAAAAACGTTGTTTCAACGTCTAGACCGCTTCAACTTTTGCACATGGATCTCTTTGGTCCTTCTAGAACGAAAAGTTTTGGTGGTAATTACTTTGCATTTGTAATTGTCGATGACTACTCTAGGTTTACATGGACCTTGTTTCTTACTCATAAAAGTGAGGCATTTCATGTTTTCAAAAATTTCCTAAAGAAAGTTCAAAATGAAAAAGACACAACCATAGTAGCCATAAGAAGCGACCATGGGGGAGAGTTCGAACGAAATCTATTTTCAGATTTATGTGACGAACTTGGCATTGATCATAACTTCTCAGCCCCACGTACACCACAACAAAATGGAGTGGTGGAACGTAAAAATAGATGTCTCGAAGAGATGGCTAGAACTATGATCAATGAGGCAAAAATTCCTAAGTATTTTTGGGGGGATGCCGTGAGTACCGCGAGCTACGTGTTAAACCGAGCCGTCATTCGACCGATACTCATGAAAACGCCCTATGACATATACAAAGGGAGAAAGCCAAACCTTTCCCATCTTCGAGTCTTTGGTTGCAAATGTTTTGTTCATAATAACGAAAAAGATAACTTGGGAAAATTTGATGCCAAGTCGGATGAAGGGATTTTTCTCGGTTACTCACTTCGTAGCAAGGCCTATAGAGTGTTTAATAAACGTACTTTGACTATTGAGGAGTCCCCTCATGTTGTGTTTTCCGAAGATAATACTCGCTTGGCGAAAAAGGCTATTTGTGATGATCTTGCAGATTCACTTGAAAGAATACACATTGAAGACGATGAGGAAGACACGCCTTTATACACCAACCCGCAACCACAACCTGAGGAAACACCTCAAGTGATGGTCGAAAATGAGGATCAAGCGGACAAAGAAGAACATGAGGAAGCCCAAGAACAAGAGGAAACCAAGTTTCCCGTCGCTTGGAGAACGAACAAGAACCATCCACTCGACCAGGTAATCGGCAGCATCAACCGCGGGGTAAGTACTCGTAACTCACTAAGGGACACCGTAGGACACATGGCTTTTGTTTCTCAAATTGAACCTACAACCATTTTTGAAGCAATAAACGACGAACATTGGACCTTGGCTATGCAAGAGGAGCTAAACCAATTCAAACGGAATGACGTTTGGGAATTGGTGCCAAGGCCCGATGATCGTATGATTATTGGTACGAAATGGGTGTTTCGTAACAAACTTGATGAAAATGGAATAATCACTAGAAACAAAGCTAGGCTCGTAGCTAAAGGCTACAATCAAGAACAAGGCATTGATTTCGAAGAAACTTATGCACCCGTAGCACGTTTAGAAGCTATTCGTTTACTTCTTGCTTTTGCATCGTCTATGGACTTTAAACTTTATCAAATGGATGTTAAGAGTGCCTTCCTCAATGGTTTTATTCAAGAGGAAGTGTATGTTGACCAGCCCCCGGGGTTTGAAGACTTTGAGTTTCCTGACCATGTCTTCAAACTCAAGAAAGCGCTCTACAATCTTAAACAAGCACCCCGTGCTTGGTACGAACGTTTGAGCAAATTTCTTTTGGATAGTGGTTTCTAAAGGGAAAAGTTGACACTACACTTTTTATCAAGAGTAAAAACAATAACATCCTTTTGGTTCAAGTTTATGTAGACGATATTATATTCGGTGCTACTAACGAGTCTCTATGCAAGGAATTCCCAACGTTAATAACAAGTGAATTCGAAATGTCAATGATGGGCGAGCTCACATTCTTTTTGGGACTCCAAGTCAAGCAAATGAAAGATGGCACGTTCATTTGCCAAGCTAAATATTGCAAGGAGCTCCTAAAACGGTTTGAAATGGACAACGCCAAAGCCATGGCGACCCCGATGAGCACGTCTGACCATCTTGACAAAGACGAGAAAGGTAAGGAAGTAGAAGTCAAAAAGTATCGAGGTATGATCGGATCCCTTCTCTATCTTACCGCTAGTAGGCCGGATATCATGTTTAGCGTATGCCTTTGCGCAAGGTATCAATCGTGTCCGAAGGAATCGCACTTAACGGCGGTGAAACGGATCATGAAATACCTTGTCGGCACGGTTAATGTTGGATTGTGGTATCCAAAAGGCTCTTCTTGTCATCTCGTTGGTTACTCCGACTCGGACTTTGCCGGTTGCAAATTGGACCGTAAAATCACGAGTGGGACTTGCCACTTACTTGGTAGCTCTCCAGTCTCATGGTTTAGTAAGAAACAAGTCAGTGTTGCGTTATCCACAACCGAAGCGGAATATGTAGCCGCCGGTAGTTGTTGTGCTCAAATCCTTTGGATGAAGCAACAACTCGTGGACTATGGCCTTAGTATCAATCACGTCCCTCTTCGTTGTGATAATACTAGCGCCATAAGCTTGACGAAGAACCCCGTTCTTCATTCAAGGACGAAACACATTAACATTAGGCATCATTTCATTAGAGATCATGTTCTCAAAGGTGATGTCGAAATTGAGTTTGTTGAAACACACAACCAATTAGCCGACATTTTCACAAAACCTTTAGAGAAAGAGTCGTTCTTCCGCATTCAAAGTGAACTAGGAATCCTTGACTCCACGATGATCTAAGTTGTGCATCTTAACTTGTTAAACGTTTACTAACTTGAGCGTCGGAGAACTTTTTCTTTTTTGCAGGTACCCCGTTCATAAAATCAGGGGGAACCATGCAAACAGCGCTGTCCAGGAGACCCAACAGCGCTGTTGAAGGAAACACCGTCAACCAGCTTGAGCCAACAGCGCTGTACAATACATCAACAGCGCTCTCACAGGGAGTTCCCTTTTACCTTTGCTTTCCAGAAACTTTTTAAACATCGATGTCTTTTTTCAAAACATCGCTGTCTACCCTAAAACACCTTGTTTTCAACCAAAACCAGAAACTTTTCAAATATCGATGTCCTTCTATTCACCATCGCTGTCCATTTTTACAAATTTTTTCCCTATCGTAAAACAGCGATGTAGGGAGACCCAACAGCGCTGTCCTAATGGGTGCCAACCCTTACATATTTCCAGAAACTTTGGGAACATCGCTGTAGGATACCCAACATCGCTGTCCATTTGACACTTTTTTTAAAAAACTTGACGCAAAACAGTGCTGTCCAGAGGCGCAACAGCGCTGTCCCAACAGCGATGTAGCCTTTGGAACATCGCTGTTCTGGATAAAGTTTTCAAAAAAAATCCGTTGTTAACTGCATTAATTACTCCAATAGCCATATTTTTGAAAATCTGAACGTTGAGAACATCCTTTTCTATAAATTGAGACCTCCTCTCTTCACTTTTACACACACAAACACAAATCTCTTCCATATTCAAGCATATTTCATCCTCTCTACTTTTCTCTTTTGAGATTTCTTCATCATGGGCAAAGACAAGAGCAGGGCTGCCACCTCCGGGAAATCCAAGTCCAAATCCCAGGCACCGTCAACAAACTCCGAGGAGCGCCTCTACTACGACGACGGATCGTACCACTGGTTCGATTCCGAGGAGGAGCGCACCCGTTTCCTCACCTTCTTCTCCAAATGGGTTGTGGCTCCCCCACGGATCGTCCCGGAGCGCTTCTCGGAGTTGCAGGGCTACGACGATCTAGATGCGCAGCTTCATCAAGCCGGCCTATGGCCGTTCGTCTCCCGGGCTTGGAAGGAGATCAACCCGGCGCTGATCCGGGCCTTCTACTCCAACCTCCGGCGTGAGGACGACGTGCTCTACTCTCTTGTCAAGAGCACGCCGATTGAGCTTTCCGTTGAGCAGCTTGGGCGCATCGCCGGCCTCCCCTACCAAGGCGACGATGTCTCCCACTATGGCGGAGAGGATTGGGTACTCAACAACGAGGGCCTTATCCTCAACGAGCTTGGCATCACCGAGCTCATCCGCCATGCCTCAGGTCGCCCCACCATCCACTCCGCGACCCCCGAGAGCCGGCTCCTTCTCTACATCGTGTCCCGAATCATCAAGGCCCGGAAGCATGGGCACACGATCATGTCCGGTGAGGACCTCAAGCTCATCCATGCGATCATGCACACGGCCTCGATCAATTGGGCAAAGTTTGTCATGATCAACATGTCGGTCGTCGCGTCCACCGACCACGATCACCTCCTCCCATACCCGTTTGTGGTGATGGACATCCTTGAACGGTTCAAGGTAACCACCACTGTTGGCCCGCTCACAAAGGCCACAAAGCTTTGGACGATGAGCACCCAAACCTTCACAAAGCGGTCGGACAACGCCGCGCCTGCCACTGTCGCGCCACGCCGCACTGCCACTGCCACTGGGCCAGCCGAACCCCAGGCCCGGGCCAACCTTGCCTCCATCACCGACTCCCTCAACCGGCTACACTTCAAAGTTGACGGGATGGATGGCTACCTTGAGCGGCTCGACGAGGCGGTCCAACACCAAGGGTACGCCATGAACGCGTACTTCCAACGCGTTAACTACGTCCCCCCACCGTACAATGGCACGTTCTTTGGGCAAGTGTACGGTGAGGGGACGAAGACGATGCCTCCTATGCCCCGTCAAGCTCCCCGGACGAAGATGAGTTTGACGATGCCATCGATGGGGATGAGATGGACGTCAACGACGACGAGGAGGAAACCGAAGACGAAGACTAGGACACCCGTAGAATTTCTATCTCTCTTTATTTTTGTCCTGTTTTTTTCATTAATCGCTTCTGTTGTACTCCGTTATTTCCCAATTTAAATAAAATTATCTTTTATCTTTTTGTTAATGTCAAAAGGGGAAGAAAAGGGTTATGCATACACTAAGGGGGAACGTCTCTAAAAACGGGCTCGTTTGATTTTAATATGACTACTCGTTTTTAAGCACAAATTAAGGGGGAACTTTTTCATATTTTTGAAAATCAAATATCCCTTAGTATGCATATCCCCGTCTTGTTTGCCATTATCAAAAAGGGGGAAATTGTTGGAACACGGGTTTACGCCTACGTCGTACTAAACCGTGTTCGTTTTATGACAGGTTTTGATAATGCCAAACTACCGTGACAATAACTAGGTCAAACTAAGCGAAACCAAGGCGAAGGAACATGGCATGATGAACTGAGAACCAAGAACCAAGAATCAAGAACGAAGACTTAGAATTGTATTGAGTCGGTTTTAATGTGATCAAGACCGGCACAAACTTTCAAAACATGGCTCTCTAGGCTCATTTCAACAAAATACTTTTTGTATATTCAAAATGGTTTTCTTAAGTCTTAAACCTGCCTAAAAACACTTGGAGTTCGCCCAAACCAAAAACCAAGCCATCCGGCGTTTGGTCTTCGGAAACTGACGTTCGGCTTTCGATTATCGGCATTGGTTTTTGGCGTCCGAACCAACCAAGTGGTTTTCAACTTTTAATGATTGGTTTTTTCTTCTGGGCATGTTTAAATAGTTCTCCAACAAAAACGCTTCAAAAACCACCTTTCGTTTTTGGTCGTTTAGTGAAAACCATGCGAAACGGCATAAACTTGGCTAGCCGTGGTTTTCAACTAAATGACGTGGTTTTCAAAATGTTTTACTCTATTTCTTAGCAAAATGCATTAAACAAACATTTTCAATACTTGGTTTTTATTTTGGAGAACTTACATTTTTGACATCGGCTAACGGCTGACTAAACCAACCATGGGTCTGGCTAAACGACCCCAACAGCGATGTTGGTGCAACCAACAGCGCTGTCTGGCTTGGGTAGCTGAAAACCATGGTTTGGCGTTAAGTCTTCCAACAGCGATGTTGGATGTTAGACATCGCTGTTGAGCCAAGGTTGGGTTTCCAAAAACATCTGGAACAGCGATGTAGACTACCCTACATCGCTGTCCAACCTAAGCCAAAAAGAAATGCTTGTGGCAGAAAGTTTTTAAACAGCGATGTTGACCCAGCAACAGTGCTGTCAGGCCAAACTTTCCACCTTCAAAGTCAGACCTAAACAGCGATGTTCAAGTAATGAACATCGATGTAGGGACCTGACCGTTGGAAGGTATTTAAGGCTAAAACTTTCCTAGTTTGGAAGCAACAGCCAAAACACCGATGTAGAGGTTTTGGACATCGCTGTTGGCATGACCGTTGCTTCCCAATTTTTAAAAACCAAGCCTAGAACAGCGATGTCCAAACCTAGGACAGTGCTGTCTGGGTGAATTTCAGCAGATCCAAATTTAATCAAATCCCACAAATTGTGCCAATCACCCCTTAAATGTTTTGGTCCGTTGGAGCCTATTTTTCCACTATAAAATGGGGTGTTTGGGTCTGTTTTACATATCACATTACTTCACAACTCCCACTCTTACATTGCAAATCATTCATCCTTTATTCATAGCTTTTTGAGAGCCATTTTTGTGAAGCTTGTGTTGTGCTTTTGAGCGTTCTTAGTCACTCATTATCCACTCTAAAAGAGAGTATTGTTCTTGAGTGTCTTTAGTGTTCTTTTGTTGTTCGAAGGAAGGGTTGTTTCCTTAGAAGGTTCGTTGAGGTTCGTGTGACTCGAACTCTCAAGTTGTACGAGTTTGTTAAGCACCGTTAAGCTTAACGAGATAGTAGTGTAGCTCGAGAGAGTCTCTCGGGAGGCTGGACTAGCCACAAGTTGTGGTGAACCAGGGTAAAAACGGTGTGCCTCTTCCTTGCTCTTTACTTTACGCTTTTAATTTTTACTCCTGCATCGTTTTTCGTTTCAAACGCTATTCACCCCCCCTCTAGCGTTGGGACGTTTTTCTGACAGCCTTGTCGGTCTATTAAAAAGAACTTCTGGCAGTTGTCTTTGCAGTACAAAAGTGGGAGCAATACTTGATTCATCAACCTTTTATTATCAAAACTGATCTGAAAAGTCTGAAATGGCTACTTGAGAGTAACATATCCACCCCATTTCAGCAATTTTGGTTGTCTAAGCTTATGGGGTATACATATGAAATACAATACAAACAAGAAAAGGAGAACTCAGTTGCAGATGCCCTTTCGAGGCAAACGGGAGCAGAATTATTATGCTTGGCACTTTCTACCATTGACTCATCGTTGTTGGAAGACATTAAAAACAGTTGGCAAGGAGATCCCACCATACAATCATATGTACAGTCCCTACAACAGAGTAAAACAGTACCGCACTATACATGGGTGGAAAATCAGCTAAGAAGAAAAGGGAAGTTAGTTGTAGGTCCTAATGATGAACTCAAAACTAAGTTGCTAAAGTGGGGACACTCCTCGCCTGTGGCAGGACATTCGGGTAGGGAGGCCACCCTGAGAAGACTAAAGGCCGTGTTTTACTAGAAGGGGATGAACAAAGATGTTTCTCGATTTCTACAAAGATGTCTGACATGTCAAGCCTGTAAATATGAAAATTCAGCATATCCTAGACTTTTGCAGCCTTTCCAAATACCTACTGAAGTATGGAAAGATGTTTCTATGGACTTCATTGAAGGATTACCTAAATCTATGGGCATGGATGTGATCTTTGTGGTAGTAGATAGAATGAGCAAGTATGCTCATTTTATGGTTCTCTCTCATCCTTTTACTGCTCTAGAAGTAGCTGAGAGTTATCTTGATTATGTGTTCAAATTGCATGGCATGCCGAGCACTATAGTAAGTGATAGGGATGCTATTTTTCTTAGCCAATTCTGGTTGTCCCTATTCACCATTCATGGCGTTGATTTCTTGATGTCTACTGCGTATTACCCCCAAACTGATGGACAAACTGAAGTGTTAAACAGGTGCTTGGAGACTTACTTGAGGTGCATGTGTTCTCACAATCCTAAGGACTGGTGTAAATGGATTCCTCTAGCTGAATGGTGGTATAACACTACCTTCCATTCCTCCATTCACATGACCCCATATGAGGTTGTCTACTGTCAACCCCCTCCTGTACACTTACCTTACTTGCCGGGCGAGTCAATGGTGGAGGCAGTGGATAGGACCCTCCAAAAGAGGGAGGACATGATTAGGCAATTGAAACATCAATTGCAAAGAGCACAGAATAGGATGAAGCAGTTGGCCAACAAACACAGATCCGAAAGGGAATTCGCAGTGGGAGGATGGGTATGGTTGAAGTTACAGCCTTACAAACAAATGAGCGTTCAACAGAGGTCTAATGAGAAGTTGTATCCTAAATATTTTGGACCCTTTCAAATCCTGTCAAAGGTGGGTATGGTGGCCTACAAACTCAATCTACCCCCTCAAGTCAAAATTCATCCTGTATTCCATGTTTCACAACTCAAGGCATTTAGAGAGGACCTGCCAGCTGCCCCACATATCCCACAGTGGCTTCAAGGAAAAGATGGGCAAGACAGTTTGGTACCCGAAGCTATCATTTCTAGGAGAATTCAGAAGAAAGCAAATGCAGCTGGAGTGCAATTTTTAGTCAAATGGCAAGGAGTTCCTGAAGAGGAGGCTACTTGGGAGTGGTCTGACACCTTTATGAAGAACTTCCCACACTTTGAGCTTTGAGGACAAAGCTAAAGTTAAGGGGGAGAGAATGATGCAGACTTCCCCAATTATTAGCTACTTATTACTGTTTTGTCCTTTCATAATTTCCCTTTTATATCCCTTCCTTACGTGTAAGCACTGATGTGGGCTCCTATATATATTTGGTATTTGGATTGTAATGAACTAAGAATATTTTCCCAAAATATTTCTCTTCCTCTGTATTTCTTTTCTCTCTCTTTACGGTTACAAGCCTCGAGACTGTCCTTCTCATTCCTAGTAGTCTCCACGCTCCGTAACAGTAAGTTTCGTAGATCCCTTGTCGGTAGCTTCAACGAGAAAAGGCCTCCTCTTATTTTAATCCGTAAGACCCTTGAGAAAATTGGATTCTCAGATTCGTTTAAATTGGGATTACTTGATGATTCTCATGTTTTGCTGCAATTTGAATCTAAAACTGATTTTCTCCGTTGTTTATTGAGAAACCGATGGAATATTGGTTCCTCCTATATGCGAGTTTTCTGATGGACTGCAGATTTCGACCCCTCGGTGGAATCCCCTCTAGTCCCAGTTTGGGTAGGGCTAGAGGGACTGCCAATCTATCTATTTGACAAACCCACCCTTTTCTCCATTGCTAAATTATTTGGCTCTCCACTGCAAACTGATGCAGCCACTGTGAATTTGAGTAGGCCTAATGTGGCTAGAGTCTGTGTGGAGGTTAACCTTTCAAAGGAACTTCCCAAGGCTATTTGGATACACTTAGGTAGCTCATCCTACCTTCAACCCCTTCTTTTTGAAAATATGCCATCCTATTGTAACTCCTGCCATCAATTGGGTCACAAGTCCTGCAAGTCAGGAACCAGATACTCTCGCTGGGTTAGGAAAACCAAGCCAAGAGGCAAGGCTGTGGCCCCTCGCCAGCCGATCTGTTTTCCTAGCAGTGCAGCTGTGCCAACCTCTACTACCCCCATTACTTTTGGTAGCTTTGAAACTGGTCACCAGTACGTCACAACAAAGGACATAGGGCCATGCCCTACAATGAGCAAGAATGGTCCTCCACCACGTTTGGACAGTACTGCTTTGGCCCCTATAACTGATGCCAACTTGACTTTAAATGGCCCTCCCCTTACAGGTTTGGACAATACTCCTTTGTCCCTCCCAACAGATGCTAATTTGGATGCCTCCTACTTGGAATGTGCTCAACACCAAGATACCAAAGACAGCCCATTACTGACTGGTCCATGTGAGCTTGAATTCACGAAAGAAGGACCCTCCTACCCCGTTGAACAGAATTTGTCACCCCAGATCCTCCCCTAATCTCAAAATTATGGTTATGACCCAAATCATACCGATGAAAATATGAGAGCACACGAGACTCACCGTGAGTCCTCGGATGGCACTCCATCAGACACTACGGTCCCTCCCATTGGAAATGATTATGCTTTATCTGATCCATCTACCCACACCAAAGTTCATGCTGGAAAAGATGACGAGGCCGGTAAGGATGCTCTCTCCGAGGCAGAACCGGTTTCACCCCACACCCAGGAGGGGAATACTAACATTTCTTTTGAGCCTAGGTCTTTTTGCAGGTATATCAAGGTCACTGAACAACGAAGCAGCCCTTCGTTACAAGAATTCCAAAAATTGAGCTTCACGGAGCAAATTGCAGAACTGAAACGAGGGCACCAACAACTCAACTTCAAGCAACCAAAAACTCCATTTCAATACAAGGTATAGGTCCAAAACTTGACGATGCCAATCTTTTTGAAGTCGAAGTCCTTCAAGACCATGATGAAAATGAAACTCATGAAGAGAGCGATCCTGAAATTCCAACCATTGAAATCCGCCATAAAGGAGAACCTCCTGACGTGACGATCCAGACGCGCAGTGGTCGTGTTCCATATGCGGGGCGTGGCCAAAATACTCGCGGGAGGGGGCGTGGAATACGCGGAAGACGTGGCAACCACAACCCATCCTAGTCCTCTTAAATTATCTTTTCACTTTCTATTGCTATCCACCTGTTTTGGATAGTATTATTTCCTTTATGAGGGCTTTGGTCTAGTCCTCCCTCTTTTGTATCTCTACCCCCCCCCCCTCTTTCCCATTATTAAACATCACATTTATATATATATATATATATATATATATATATATATATATATATATATATATATATATATATACACACACATACACACACACACACACATACATACATACATACATACATACATATATGTGTGTGTGTGTGTGTGTGTGTGTGTGTGTGTGTGTGTGTGTATACTCCCTCCGTCCAAAAAAGAACTTCCCGGTTTGACTGGGCACGGATATGAAGAAAAGTTAAATTTTGCTTTGACTTCCCCAAAATACCCTTACACCTACCCGTCCTCAATCCTCACTTCCTTCTTTGAACAAACATACAATCTCCTTCAACCATTACTACCACAAAAATTAACTTTTTCACACCTAAAATTAGATTGAAGAATTGGTGAAATCTGGGAAATTTGTAGTTAGAACTATGAACAAATATGGGAAGCTTTGGGGAAAAAAATTAAATGGGCATAGATTGTTGGCTAGTGAAGATGACACATGTTAAATATGTTAAGATAATATTCCATATTTAATATGATTCTTATATATATGGTAGATTCCATAATTGTATAGGATTCCATTTAATGTAATTTCCTTATACTACACTCTCCTACATGTATATAAGGGGAGGTAAATATTTTGTAATAATCATTGGAAATATACAATTCTTCATGGTATCAAAGCCATTCCTACGGTAATCCCGAACCACCTCCTCTCTCTCCCTTTCACGGCGCAGCCCTTCTCCCTCTTGCTGCCGCCGAGTCATCTCCCCTCTCCGGCGAAGGAGTCACCGGTCCCTTTCCTTCACTAGCCACCTTCTCCCTCTCTCTTTGTCAACATGTCATCAGAAAAATCTGTCTCTACTTTTACCACCACTGCAAATACCCCTCATCTTGCTTTTACGACCGTCTCTAATGTCAAACTACAAGTACCCATCACTCTCAGTTTCTCGGAACCAAACTACAAGAAGTGGAGTCGTCTTTTTCTTCTCTTGGTCAGACGGTTCAATCTTGAAGGATTCGTCACCGGTGAGAGAACCTCCACCGGGAAAGATGGTATTGAATGGCTTCAACTAGATGCCCTTATTCAAGGATGGATTCTTTCAAGAATTAACGATGAGGTTTCCGATCTCATCATCTCCTCCACCACATCTGCAGCAGATTTATGGAAAGCTATACACAACCTATTTCATGACAACAAAGCGGCCAGAGCTATGCAATTGGAGCACCAATTTTACAACACTGTCAAAGGCACGTCCACCATCACAACTTACTGTCAAACCCTTCGGAATATTGCCGATTGGCGGGACGATGTGGATGCCTCAGTCACCGAAAACCAACTTGTTCTCCAAACCCTACGTGGTCTCCCGGATGACCTTGGCAAGCAAGCCTCCTTCCTCCAATTCCAAAAACCGCCGCCGACGTTCATGGAAACGAGATCGGCCCTTCTTCTCTTGGAACAACAAAATCAGCCTCTCATCACTGCCGGCGAAGGAGGTTCCGCCCTCGCAGCCACCATCTCTGGCCCGCAGGGTTTCGGCGGTGGAGCGAGCCGGGTGCAGGGCTTCGGCGGCGGCGGAGGTCAGCAGCTCGGATACAGCAGCGGCGGCGGAGGTCAGCAGCTCGGCTACAGCAGCGGCGCCGGGCAGTCCCAGGGCAGCGGCGGCGGCCGTGGACAGACGGCTGGTGGTCGCGGAGGTCGCCTGGTGCACGGTCGCGGTCGAGGTCGGAACAACGGTAGGGGCATGCGGCAATCCTTCGGGCATTTGGATAACTAGCAGATCCCCAATTCTTATCCCAACCCAAGCCAAGGAATATTGGGCCCACGGCCCAATTCCTTTTCTCACCCAGCCCATGCTTATTTAACTCAGCCCACTTACCCCAATTACCACACCTACACCAATTACCCAAACCAATACCCTCCCTATCCTACCCAAAATCCCCCCTACCCGAATTACCCCAACCCCAGCCCCTATCCGCCAGCCCCCCACCCCCACAGCTCTGGCCCACCAATTTGATACAATGACCCTCCGTGAACCCACATGGCTCATGGACACCGGTGCCTCACACCACATTGCTTCAAACCCATGTACTATTTCCCAGGTTTATTCTTCACCTTTAAATTCACCACCTCTCATCACTGTAGGTAACGGATCCAAAGTACGTGCTACGGCAGTTGGTAAACATATTTTTCCCACCTCCCCACCCCTATCTCTCAATAATGTCTTAGTCTCCCCTCACATTATCCATAATCTCATTTCTGTTCATCAATTTACCCATGATAATAATTGCACTATAGAAGGATCTTCAGACGGGAACCGTGATTCATCGCTCCAATAATGACGGTCCTCTTTACCCTCTGCGCACACACCCTCCTGTAGCCCAGGTCCACGCAGCCATCGTTGACACACAAACGTGGCATCGTCGTCTTGGTCATCCTAGCCCAGCTGTTCTTCATGGAGTCCCTTCTTTGTCTGCTCTCATTAATAATAAACATTTTAAAGATACTTTAAGTCATGCTTGTCAGTTAGGAAAGCATGTTCGTCTTTCTTTTAGTTCTTCTGTCCAAATTTCAAGTTTTCCATTTCAATTAATGCATACTGATTTATGGCAATCTCCTGTTCCTAGTATTACTGGCTTTAAATTTTACATGCTTCTGCTAGATGATTTCTCACACTATTTATGGGTTTTTCCTCTACGTCACAAATCTGATGCTTTTTCCCAACTAAAATCTTTTTTAGCCTATGTGAAAAATCAATTTAACACCACCATTAAGGTTGTACAATGTGACAACGGAACAGAATATCGCAACACTCCTCTCCAAAATATTTTTAATGATCTAGGCATACTCTTCCGTTTCTCCTGTCCCCACACGAGTCAACAAAACGGACGTGCTAAGTGAACTATCAGAACCATCAACAACACCATTCGGACGCTCCTCTTCCAGGCCCAGTTACCCCTGAATATTGGGTTGAAGCCCTTCATATGGCCTGCCATCTATTTAACCTCCTACCCACCACCACTCTTCAAAAACGTACCCCCCACGAAGTGTTTTTTTAAACCCCACCCTCTTACTCTCATCTCCGTGTTTTTGGATGCCTTTGCTATCCTAACACCTCAGCCACCGCCCCTCATAAAATTTCCCCTCGATCGACCCGTTGCATTTTCCTTGGCTACCCATCTAATCAACGCGGTTTTCGATGTCTCGACTTAACCATCAACAAAATCATCACTTCTCGTCATGTTGTTTTTGATGAAACAGTTTTTCCCTTTAATCATGTCACCACACCTTCAGACCTTCAATTCCTTGACTCCATGGAGGACACCATCCCCTATCATCTTCACCAAATTTCCTACCCCACCTCACCCCGTTCCCCACAGCCTAGCACACACACGGCCCAAAACCCCACCCTCTCTCTCACCCCTCACTCGACCCAACCTCCCTCCTCTCAATCGGCCCACACTCC